GGGGGGGGGGGTTAAAGCCCCCCCAGCCCCTCCCTCTGCGCGGTCCCTGTAACTTGGTATTTCTTACTGAGTTGGCAACGTAAATTGGCCACCGTAAAGAGTTTTAAAACATACAAACACACACACAACCCACAATTCCTTTATTCGCTCTAATGAAGGGCTAACGCTCGAAACGTCAGCTTTGAAATTCTTTTAGGTGGCCAATTTACGTTATCAACTCAGTTTTATAATATCAACTACCTTCTCAATTTTAAAAGTCCGTTCGGTCCTTAGTATATGATATGATACTCAAAAACACCAGCTTACAGGCCTTCATATCTGAATATTTCAATACAACAAATGCAAGTGGTTCAGGAAGACATTTTCAAAGTACAGTTCTCACACGAAACACTAATGAAATTTTTACGCGCTCCTTGATATTCTTTAAGGTGGATCCGCATGGTGGCAGTTACAAACTGACAACAAGTTTGAGATGGCTTAAAATCGACCACTATCTTGCTGAGATATACCACAACCCATAAGCCGAATATTCAGCGATTAATTTTCTCTCCAGGCTTTGAAATTTCTCACATCATCACATAGTACACTTTGAGCAAACAGAAACTTGCCTCACCTCGTGAGGCAAAAAAAAGACTCGTCCGACTACTCTCTTGGAAATGAATAAAATGTCACAAAAAATAATATCGGCAAAATATTCTTGAAGCAAAAAAATGATGCAGGAGAAGGTTTAGGGTAAGTTTATTTGAATCAACATCAGAGGTACTGATTTCCTACAAAATTCTCACAAGGGTAAGGATATACCAGTGTAACGTTTTTTGAATAGAAACTTGTTTACTGCTCAAAGCAGGAGCCAGGCTGAAACGGTTCAAAAGCTTAAGCCAGAGTAAGTAGCCTTTTAATTTTCTTTTGTCTTGTTTACATTATCGTCTTCGTTGCCCGCGTCTTCCAGCTCTTTAAAGCCCACAATGCCCCCGATCTTTTTAACTTCTGAGAACAGATCCACATTTTCTATAGGTTCGTAATCTTCCGCCGCCTTTTCGGCGGCCTGTCGGACATGCTTAGCAACTTGGCAAATAGCAGTGTCGAGCTTGTTTCTGTGTCTCATTACAAAAGGACAGATGATGAGGTTGTAAATGACCGCCGTACCACTCCACGGGCCTGGAAACATGCACCAAACGAGGAGGAAGAACTTCAGCAAAAAATACAACGGAATCCACTCAAGAAAAATTTCCAAAAAATTCACCATGCTGAAAACTACCCAGTATGTTAACCATTTGGTATCTTCCATCAGATCGCTGCTTTCGATCGCCTTCACTGATGCATAGGTCGGGAAAACGAAGCCGAGGAAATAGCAAAGAAGGTTCGCAGCGTAACCAACTGACAGGTATAATAAGATGAAACAGAGGCCGCCAAGAAATAGGGTTTGTCTCCTGACATTGGTAGCGGCCTCTAGCTTGTTTAAAAAATCAGTGAATATGTTGCGCTGTTCAAGAAGGTCGTTAATTACTTGAATTGACACACTACGTCGAACAGTTGCTACTAGCCTTTGGCAGATGTGAAATTTAGTCCTTTCCATACTCCATGAGGATGATCTTCAACCTCGAGTAAGCGAACGACGCCACTTAAATTTGGTCGCTTAATATCTAATTAACAATTTATGATTTCACTAATCAGGTAATTGAATATAAAGCGCGCAACTCGCGCATGATCTCAAACGGTATGTTAGATGTTGAAAGTTTCACCCCTTACCATCTTTGCGATTTCGCCCCCTGATGTAAACTGTTTTATTTTAGGGGGGCGAAACGTCCATAAACCGTATGTGAAAGTGACGGATGACTCACCACTGATATCTCGGGCGAATGTATCAAATAGACGACGCCTATCTGCCGGTTCTCAGGAGCTCCTAAATTTGGAAAAATATAGGCACAAGAAGTCACGATTTTCACATTTAATTCACTGGTAAATATCATATATGAAAGGCACCCGAAAAGCATTTTCTGAAAACCTCGAAAAATGTCGTACAAACTGTCAATATGGATTAGCTTTATGCTGAAGTTTAGAACAGTACTGGAATTACACTAAAATAAAGCCGCCAATAAGTTTTCAACGCAATAGGTAATAAGGGCGAAGGAAGGATTGCGTTTTCCCAAAATCACTCTTTAGAATCTACCGCGACTGATCTTTTTTACCACTATTGTTATTATTATTATTATTATTATTATTATTATTATTATTATTATCATTTACACTATTAACACAACTATCATCAATGTTATTATCATCATTTTTTGCGAACAAACAAAACAAAGCCCACATGTTGCGGCGGAGAAGACTATTAAATGAGATTACTCGTGTGAGACTTCTAAAGTCTTGGATTTTGCTGGATGCAATTTTTATATTAAAGTTAATTGAGTTCATGATTTTGAATTCAAAGGACAGCAGAATCTCATAAGAGTGAGTGACTTGTTTGTCATCAACGCAATTTCCATCTTTGCTCTCATGATATGAATGGAAAGAAAACGGTCAATCAAAATCTGAAGTTAACATTGTTAACATCAGCAATTCTGATTAAAATTGATGAGAATTAAAAGGAAACATGGCAAAAAGTTGATTTGTATGTTAAATAATCAGAGATCAGGCAATACCATAACTATGATTAGATCGACGTTTACATCAACGTACTCTTCATTCGCGGCTTTTGCTGAGCGCGCCATCTCTTAAAAGAGTTAAAATTTAATTGTCTAATTAATAATAATAATTTCCCGTGGCTTAATGCTGTTTGTGGCGTACGTTTGGAGGAATGTAACACATAAAGGTCATCAAGCTCGATTGGTTTACATCACAATATTTCAAGATGTTTCGGTTCTTCGACTATTGTTGCAAATCGAAAGGAAACGAACGTGAGGGCAGACACACAGAGAGACACACCCACACAATGCAAAAGATAAAGCGAAATAGCTCAATAGAAAATGGTTAGATACATCAAAGACAAACGAGGATTTTAAATCATACTGACAAACTGCGACATTCACGAAACGTTATTTGGCTGCTTTAAGAAGTGGATCAAACCGGCTCCTTATTTGCTCATTTTCGGCAATGAAATGAGCTGATCGAATCTTTTCGAAAGAACCGTCGTAATGAAAAACGTTGAGTCAAATTCCTTAACCCTAAAATATCACTTTGCCTGCTTGCATCGGATCCCATTACCGGTCACACAAGGCAAGGGTTTTGGATAGTTTGAGTCTTCTTGCAACCATGACAACTCGTTTTAATGCCAACAAGCCGGTAGGGAAGCGGGAATCAAAATTATTCTTATGATTACTTTTTGCAGAGTTGTGCCAAAATCAACCTGATATTCTCTTCCCTGAAATAAATCAACCTTGTCGTGCTTTTGTCGCGGCTCGAGCACATTAAGGCGAAACCATAGCTTATGTGTTAATGGCACCTATAGTCGTTGTCTTTTGCCAAAAGTTTGACGCATTTCGTTATTTGACGACCGAGCTAAGAAACAACCATCTTTCCAGTTGTATTTCTCCAAATGAGATACACCAGTCACCCACACTTTAAACATTTCTGATTCTAGTGGAAGACAGGACAGTAGAACTTTTAACTCCTGTGAGAGGCGGACCAAGACCGAAGTCCTCCTTACAATATCAATGCAAAAACAAGCAGGCAAGTGATGAGAATAAGGGAAATATCGATCAGGGGGTTATTAGTTGATTTAATACCAAATTCTTAGAACTGACGTCATAAAAATTGTAAGGCAGACAGTAAGGAGAATTACTAATGAGATGTTTGGCTTGTTCTCAAGAAAAAGCTCAGGCTTGACTCTGTCTCATATACTCTTGAAAAATTGTTGTTCAGATATGCTGTACTACAATTGAAATTTGGTGGAAAGGAAATTAAAACAAACGAGATTACTTCATGCATAATAAACTCTGAAATCTTTGGTGTTTGTATTGGCTGCCTCTCTGTGCTTCCTCTCGTTTCATCGCTCAAAATCCTCAGTTGAGTTCCTTCTTACTGAAGTAAGCTCCTTAGTAATTCGCTTTCATTTCAATGGATATCCAAAAAGTCATTATTATCTAATTTTAATTTAGCAGCACGTAACAAATGTAAGGCATTTAAAGCGGTGAGGTAAACCACAGAAGCTTTCGATCAAAAACATTTAGCGGGTTTACATTTATTGAGTTTCCTGAACATTTTTAAAGCATAAGGCCGTTTGGAACTTTCATGGGTCCGTTTTGGAGTCAGATGAAAAGTTCAGACAGTTCTCTGTACCTTTGGCTCATTCTGTTGGGTAAGTACCAGTTTGTTGTAAGAAACAGAGAAACAAAAATATCACAATAACTGCACTTCGAGAATAGAACTCAATAAAACTTTCTGACCAATCCATCTTTACGTGGTCGTGGGCCTGGTAAAATGTGCACAAAATTGTTAAAGGAAATTCTATACCCATATGGTAACAGTGATTTTCTTCGAGAAGTAGGCAAGTGAAGTAATGGCATGACAACTAAGGAGTGCACCCTTATCAAAACAACGTTTCCATGAAGGAAAAAATCTAAGAGAAATTAAGCCTTTGTTGAAATGGACCACAATAAAGTTGAGGATCAAATATACTCTCACAAGTGAGAGAATCTTTTGAGTAGAATTTTTCCAAAATGTTTGGAGATATTAAAAAAACATGTTTGCTACATTGCTTCCAAGGTTATAGCTCAATAATCATCCCGTGCACATTAACTCCGCCCCATCTGCGTCAACAACTTAAATTGTTGGACAGAATGTTATAACAAAAGATGCATTTTTTAGGCTTCGGCAAGCAGGTTTTTCAGTAGCAACACGGTTTACCCAGAAAACTTCAAAAGTTTTCATTCTGTGAGGCTTTGAGCGTACGAAACGAGCGAAACGAGCTCGAAACGAGCTAGACGATTATCCTTTGTAAAAAGTTCATGAAATATTAAAAACTTTCCTGGATTTCGTCATTATATAGCTCTGATTTCAGGGGCCATAAAGGTCGGTAGGACATCTTAAAATAAAAGAGCTTAGCATATAGTTGACCGAAGCATATGACCAAGGCCAACCTGAATATGCTCTCGCGGGACAAATTTTTGGAATAAAATATTTGGCTGTGGAGTGAAGTTCACCTGCATGGCGTCTGCACATACAGCAAGGAATCGTTTACACGAGTAATAAGCAAATTAGATTTGACAATGGTATGCGAATTCCAACTCAAGCACTTTCAATCCAATAAAATCACAATTTAATTTATTTTAGCCGCCACGGAAAACAAAACGATGACCACTGTGTCGGTCACCGGGAAGATCCATTAAAATGTAGTGAACAAAGTGACTCAGGATTATTTCGTGTAAACACATAAAAAACTTGCTTGAAAAGAGAAAATCAGCTATTTTATTTTCTCGAGAATAAACAGGATTGTAAAGATTTCCGTATAACTGTAGATTATTCAAAGCTGTAGTTCCAAAGGCAATCTGTTTTTGCCATTGTTTTCTTTCTCCAAGAACTATAAGCATAATGAGATATAGAGCTGTGCAGAAATCTTGCCAAACAATTAGATACGTTGAACAGTTTATAATTAAGTCAAATCCTCTATTGAAATATCGCAAAATGACAGTTGGGCGGCCTAAGCATCTACTAAAGAAGGAATGAAGACTTAAAACCATATAATCCCGAATACGCCTTTTTTAATCACTTTTGAGAGGAAAATCATTCGAAACATCCCAGTAATCCAGTCTAGCGCGATTTCATTTGTGCTCTTTCTTTGTTCATTGTGGACAACACCATTATCATTCATTATTATTATTTGAGTCTAACATCTTTCGGCTGAGGTTTCACTTGTTAAAATCTCAACTTCATGGCATTTTTTTTTTTTTTTTTGCTAAATTGTTTAGTATAATTTGTTTTGTTGAATCGTTTCACTGAAGTATTAATTCTCTGACGCTTCTATACTTAAGATTTTATTGACGAGTTTGAGTAATCTAGTAATGACTTCAATAAAGGCAAGATTTTGACGCAGAAATTGCGGCTTTAAATGTTCTCGCTATCTGAAGGATCTCCAGGGGTGATAGCTTTTACGGTTGACGGTTAATTTCTTTCCGCGTCGATCAAAAGAAAATATTTTACGGTTAACTTTCTTGACGATTTACAGTTGACTGTTAATCGCATTGAGACCCTCTGTCTAGGTCACTTATCTGTCATTGGAATTGTTAAATTTCCAGCTAGATCTGAAAAGCAGAAACACCAGAATTACTGTGACTTTATGACACAAGACACTCCAAATTCCTGTCCCCCCCTCCTCCCTCAAGCACATGCAAACAATCGCTAATAAAGGTTTTTTTTCCACTTTTCGATTCTTTTCTAGTGTTCTTTCCCATAGAGACACAGCCACTAAAAATACTATTGACTCCTCGCCGATCTTCACACTCAGTAAAGGTTGGTGAACATGTGACACTGATATGCACAACAGGGCCAAGTGTTAAAGCAACATACAAATGGCAGAATGATTTAGCTATAGGAACAGGAAAAGAGCCGAGTATGATAACAGGAAATGCTACATTGAAAATATGGAAGACAAAATTACATCACACTGGAGTCTACAGCTGTACAGAAACACGAAAGGGAGAAGAAATTCTACAACAAACCCGTTCGGTTTTGTTAACCATCGTAGGTAAGACTATTATTCTGTTACGATTTAAAGGTATTGTTTGTCTGGTAGGTTTAATGTCATTAGATCCATAACTTACATAAGTTTTCCTTTGTTCTATGGTAATCGAATCAATAAGAAACTGCACCTAACAAAGATCTTGTTAATAGAGCAGTTGCGGCCTTTTTAACTTCTTGAAGCGAACAAAACCGCTTACTTTTTTTGCGAAGACCCCGAACAAAACCGCTTACTTTTTTTGCGAAGACCCCGAAGTTGTTCTGATAGCGAGAGCTAAAAGAAAATGGAAATCAAAGATATTCAGTTAATCACACTTTGAATTAATGATAGTCCTTGGGGTCGAGGCCCACGCATGAAAGCGAGACGAGTGTCAGCCAGTCCTGGATGGAACCCGAACCCTGATATCGTATGACCTATAGATCAACACGACACAAATAGTATAGGTTCTCCAAGCGTCAAACGTAACCAGAGATTTATATTGGAAGCTCCGATATGCTCACCTGGCGTGGGTTAGCGTTTATAAATGTGTAACAATGAACACTGACTGACTGCAATGTCAACACTACAAACCAAATATTCATAACATTTTCCAAACCAAACTTCTTCATACCACTGGCTTCTTCGCAGCATCTCGTGTGGAGAATGGCCAATTGACCTTAATTGTTATATACATTTTTTAAATTTTAGACATGTGCCATGAGGCCACAATTACGATTCAACCCACCCTAACAAGAATTTATTCCGAAGGAACAGACCTCACATTATACTGTGAGTGTCCTAGCAATTCTAATGAAAAGACCATAACATGGATCAAGAACGGTGCCAAAGTTACACCACATAACCGCCAGAGTATAACTTCGGACAGCAAAAAATTGATGCTCAAGAATGTAAAGTTTGCTGATAGTGGTAAATACGCTTGTAATGTTACAGTGGACAGGATGGTGACAGCGACATCAAAGGAACTGGAGCTTTGGGGTACGACCCACAACTTTTATAGGTGGAAGTGTATCTTTTCAAAAGACTAGTCATTTTACAGTCACCAAAGAGAGGGGGGGGGCGACTTTGGGGGCCACATGGTTTTCAGGGGAAACAGAGTGGGGGGAATCGGTCATCGGCCGACAGATATAAAGGGAAACTAGAGAAAATGACTGCCAGTTAACCGTTTATGAGAGGGGGTGGTGTTAAGTAGACAGGGACAGTAGAATTAAAGATTTCAAGAAACTCACGGTAACTGGTTTGACGCGCGACTAACGCGCCTGCGCTCTGAGACATTTTAAAGTGGTTTTAACTAACTGTGCCTACATTATACCACTGTTGATATGCGTCTAGTTAATGTTCTATGACGCACGTGCTCATGAGCGCTTGTAATCTCCCCTTTGAGTAAAACTTTGCTAGAACGCATGATGATGAGGCTTAGACGGGTTAATTCATAAATATACCAAAGAATAAGAATTTGGAGAACACTGAATACCTTACTTACATGACGTGAAAATCACAATATGTTTTTTTTTTCCTTTTCAGTGGGAAACAAACCAGAAATCACTGATTATCCACCGGAAGTAACGCAATTTAAATTGTGGACACAGTATATTTTTTTGACTTGCATAGCAGAGGGAGTACCATATCCACGAGTAAAGTGGTACTACAATGGCGGACCTGATGAGTCGCAAATTCCTGTGCCAAACGACGGAACAAATTTCACGGTCTTTGACAACGGGACCATGGCAATAAGGGAATTCAGATCATATCATGTAGCTGTCTACAAGTGCGTGGCTATTAATATCCTGGGGTCTACGAAGAGGATAATTCATATTCAAACCCCAAGTAAGTTTAACCCGCTGACAATAAAGGCGGCAGCGACGCGAAAGCGATTGGAGAGAGAGAGAGAGAGAGAGGAAGGGAGAGAGAGAGTGTGTGGAGCGAGTTCTCTAATCTGACCTAATCCTGGTGGAATGAGAGGTTACTCAGATACTTCCAAGAACAGTGTTCTATTTACAGAGTCATGTGATTTCCGAGCAGTTTTTTGTGTGCACTAATGTATTTAGTTTTTTGTGTGCAGTAAAAATAGAAGTACAAAGAAAAGTATCAGCAGCTGAGGGAAAGTCGTTCAATTGGCGCTGCACAGTCGAAGGTCTTCCAAAACCAAACGTCTACTGGGCGGATGCAAAGAGAAATGAAATAAGAGAAGGCACTCGATTCATAACAAGGTTTGCGGAGGAATTACGAATACAAAATGTACGCATGGGTGACTCTGGGCGGTACTATTGTGTCGCTTACCGTAATGAAACTCGTGAATCCAAATGGACTGAATTGAGGATGGACGTTTATGGTAAGTAGTGTTGAGAATGTCCAGCTATAGCACCTATATCATTAAACAAGGGAAAAATAAAAAGTACCACGTTACATTATGCAGCGTCAAGTCAAGTCAAGTCAAGTCGTATAATGAGATTATGATAAAGATGATAATAAATCATAATAAAAATAATGATGATGATGATGATGATGATAAGATTGAGCTTAGCCTAAACTTCTAATGTTTTTTCCCCTCCCTTGATAGGGCCCGTACCCTAATGAGTTTCTTTTAAAACTCTCCGCATTCAAACCCTACTTTAAGGACCTTTACGAAAATAAACTCTTAAAAAAAAACGAATTCATCTGGCAGTAGCGGCTGAAAGCAAAACGCGAACTCGAGGTCTGGGCTGGTCTTTTCCTAAATTTTCTTTTAATTTTTTTTTTTTTTTTACCACGTAAAAATCTTACATAACCATCCAATATTTGATTAAATAAACTATATAACTATAGCAGCCTCAGAATGCCTACCCAAAAGCGCAAATACTGTATTCTTATCATTATTATTATCATTACTAAAATCATTACTATTTTAAAAAAAAGCATTACCTATTTTATATATCGCCTTGTCGGGTTACATCATTCCGTGTGAATTAATTTTTTTTTCAATCCATGAATCTGTCTTATCATGTATACTATTAGCATAGCATTTCTTAGCTCTTATTTCATAGCATTTCTTGGCTCTTATACGTCACAATAGAATTTCATCACAACCATCACAATGCATGTTTCTGGCGAGCCGGGGAGAAAATATAATCATTTCTTGCCTGAATATTTGAGACCAAATCATCAATTAAACTTCTTTCTTCTTCATTCAGAAAATGACAGCCTCACAATCAAGTCTTCTCCCGAGAATATAACACACGTGTTTACTGGAATAATGGTAACGCTTAGGTGTGAGTTTGACAGTAAAGCACCTTTTACCACCTGGTGGGGCATAAAAGGTTTGGAAGGGTTGCCAGATTACTATAGAATGAGAGATTATGGCTCCTGGTTAGAAATAGATGACGTGGGGGAGTCGGACAACAACGTTTATTACTGTCGCGCATCGAATGGTTTCAAAACCGTCACGGCTTACACTCATTTGTCAGTGTATAGTAAGTGGAGGACATGATTACTCAGCCTTATCAATTCACTATTGTCATTTTACCAAATAAGGTCACGAGAATGTGCAAAATATGCCACGGTATTACTCTGGGGAACAGGGCAAAAATACGAGACAACAAAATGGCTATACTGAACGATTCAAACTTTGATTTTCTTTTCCCTTTTTTAGGCTTAACTTTTAAAGAAACCAACTTTAAAGCGTAACAGATTCTTTGTTGCTCACAAAAAACACTTAAATGGTTACGTTGGTGTTGTTTCAGCTTGTTTTCGTCTTTTAAGTACTCTTTGTGGGATCGATACGATGCCCAGATAAGGCCTTAAGATGTATTTGGCAAACTAAAATCAAATACTAAAAAGTGAAACAATAGTGGAATAATAAATCCCTTAATCGATGTTTTAATATGTAATTCGAACGGACATTTTGTTCATAGCTCGTATTTTTCCGCGCCCCTTCGGGCTTCGGAAAAATACTGCTCAACTCGTAAAATATCCGAACTTATTATACATAAAACGATAAAAAAAATGTTTATATATTCAGTGAGAGGTCCTGTTTTTGTCTTTTGTTTGAAAATTCATTATGCTTCGCTGTGGTGTCAAGTCAGAAAATTCGTCAGGTATTGATGAGTCGATTAAGTTAAAAATAAGCTGAAAAATCAATAAATTTCTGTCCTCAGAGTCTACGGAGTGGAAACCGAGAAACATAACAGTTTACGTCGGAGACTCAGTTTGGTTTCACTGTGATGCACGAAGGGTCCCTCGATTTCCATTCAAAGTCGCGTGGTTTAAACGTGGACAAGGTAGTAAAATGCTCGACAAGAAAAGGTTCCGTGTTATTGCGAACGGTTCGATCCACATAACTGATATTCGGCTCAATGACGAAGGAAAGTATTTCTGTATTACCAACAAAAACTTCAAACAGACCTTTGGAACGCGGTATCTTCTAGTTAGAGGTAAACCCTGTCAGAGTTACTTTGGAATATTTCTTAATGT